CAGTTCTCTGACAGCTTCTTCACATGTACAGCGGTTGAAACATCTGTATCCTAAATGGAAACTAATAGATACAAATTGTATCTATTAGTTTCCATTTAGGATACAGATGTTTCAACCGCTGTACATGTGAAGAAGCTGTCAGAGAACTGTCATAAATAGAGGAACTCTGCACATACACTTTTTGCCGGCTTGGAATTATTCTTATTTTCATCCTACTTCTTCTTCTTCTTCTTCTTCTCTTCTTCTTCATCCTCATCCTCTTCTTCTGAGGATGAGGATGAGGATGAAGAAGTAGGATGAAAATAAGAATAATTCCAAGCCGGCAAAAAGTGTATGTGCAGAGTTCCTCTATTTCTGACAGTTCTCTGACAGCTTCTTCACATGTACAGCGGTTGAAACATCTGTATCCTAAATGGAAAATAATAGATACAATGTTTCAACCGCTAAACATGTGTTCCTTCTGTCAGAGAACTGTCAGAAATAGCGGAGCTCACTGCAGGGACACTTTTGCCGGCTGATCAGGAAATATTCGATTCGCGCACCCGAAGTAGGCAAAATTTCGGATTCGACGCGAATCGAATATTTCCTGAAATTCGACTCGAATTCCGGTTCGCCTGGTTCGATTCGCTCATCTCTAAATATAAATAATAAAAAATTTTATTCAATACTATAATCAAACCAAAAACACTGAAATTTGAACTATAGTGCCAAGTTTGCACATCACTGAGCAAAGTCGCAAAATCATTTTCAGTGTCTGATGACGAATTTCCCCACGAATCATTATCACTCAATTCTGCAAGTGGTTCTAATTTACTATCGCTGTTCTCTAGCCGGTCTAAAACCAATTTTGACCTAAAGGGACGCTTTTTGGACACCACGGACGTTTCTCAGTTTCCAGGCAGAAAGAACAGTAAAAATGTAGGCAGGGCACAGGACAAAGCACTCGGGACAAAATGTATGTGAAATGGTTCGATACAGTAATGTTATACTATGTTATTTTAGTGAATGTCACTTTTTGTCATTTTCAAATTTCCCGCCGTTCTGTCCCCCGTACGTCCCATACCCAGAAGACAGATGCCGACATCCGCCGGAGGACATTACAGGGGACACTGCAGGAGGGACATCGCGGGAGCGCAGCAGGACAAGGTAAGAGAAGAACAGATCCCGGAGCAGCGCCACATGGTAAGCCCGAGTGTAGCTCAGGGTTACCGTTTGTGGTATTGAAACTTTACCCCGAGCTACACTCGGGAATACCGCCAGGGAGGCTAATTTGCAAATTAGGGTTTTTGTGGGGTACTGTATCAAATACTTAAGCAAAATACAGATAAACAATGTCTATTTGCATTCTTATATCTAAATTACAGCCTCTTTTCCTCATTGAATGTCAATGGGTATGTTTATCAAGAATGGTCCTTCATAAATCCATGCCATGGCCATATTTGGGCACTGATGTTACCACTATCTCCACCCCTGCTTTTATATAGCTGATAACAGTAGGGGAAGCTGTCATTCAGCTAATGTCACCATTGAGGATTGGTCGTGTGTCACAGGCTGTCATGTTTTTTGTGACTGTGGGCATTACGATTGATGATGGATTTAGAATGAGAAACTTTTTTGGGATTTTTATTTTTTTAATGAAGAACTGTTTATGTTTGGATGTCTTTATTTCTGGGCTTCAACTGTTTTTTTTTGTGAATGAGTATCCACATGGGGGTGGTGGTGTAGTTTCTGAGGGCCCCTTATTATTAAAGGGGACTCCAGAATCTGATAGGCCCCCTGTTGGCAGACCCACACATCCACCTGGCAAGGGTTGTGGGGAAGAGGACCTTGTCCTCATCAACATGGGGACAAGGTGCTTTTTTAGGAGGTTTCCCCCCTGGCAAAGCACCCCCCCATGTTGAAGGCATGTGGCCTGTTATGGTTCAGGGGGGTGGGGGGGTTGCACACTCCTCCTCCCACTTTCCTGGCCAGCCAGGCTGCATGCTCGCATTAAGGGTACCGGTAATTTTGCTGTGTTAGGTACCCTGTAAAAATCCATACCAGAATCAAAGGATCTGTATTTTTTTCACTGTTGCTGTTGAATGTGCTACAGCAAAAATGACATTTACAAAGAAAAAAAAAAAAAAGCAGTTTAAATTGCTGGCAAATGACATTAATTGCTGGCAATGACAGCTTTCAAAGTCTTTTGTCTGCAGTTTTAAAACTTATTATTTTTAAATGTCAGTTCTAAAAAAAAAACACACTGCTCTTGGCTCTATGGAATTTAAACATTTTTTTTGTTATGCATTGGCACATTTTTCCCCAGGGCAGTGCCCACCTCCCATGCTATTTCTTGGACAACCCCTTGCATATTACCCAACAAAATTGTAATTTTTTTACAAAAATGGGGTTCAGGTTCAGCATCTGAAAATTCAGCGAACCCCTGCCGAATCAAACCCAGGGATTTTCAGCTCATTGCTATTCTTCTGTCTCCTTTGAGGAGAACATTTGGTCCCATTTAGTATCACACAGTAAGGAATACAGCTTATTAAAGTTGGCCTTTCTGAAATTTATTGTTTGTCATACCAACATTTTCTCTTTCCTGTAATTCACAGCAAACTTAAATGTATGACTACTGTAAGCCAGGTTGTCCATTAATTTCAGCATCTGATGTCATCTCCATGTTATTTGAAATAAGTAGGTCCAACAGAGCATTGTTTCTAATTGGATGTTATGCCTTTTCTCTTTTTATTTCCTTCTGTGATTTTATTATGGAAATTGCCTACTCCTCCATACTCCTCTTGTCATTTCATCCTAGGAATCCTCAGAAGAAGAGTCCTCCTCTGTATCCTCTTCCTCAGACTCTTCCTCCTCTGCATCTTCAGATCCCTCCTCCTCGGCATCCTCTTCTTCAGACTCTTCCTCCTCTACATCCTCCTCATCCTGTTCCTCAGACTCCTCCTCCTCAGCATTTTTTTCCTCAGACTCCTCCTCCTCATTATTCTCTTCCTCAGACTCCTCCTCCTCTTCCTCGGACACCTCCTCCTCAGCATCCTCTTCCTCAGACTCCTCCTCCTCAGGATCTTCTTCCTCAGACTCCTCCTCCCTCTGGAAACACACATTTCTAAATATCTCAGCTCCCTGGTGCTCCTCAAAAGAATACTCCTTCTCTTCTACCTTCTGCATAGGCTGCTCAGAGGTGCTCTTCTCCTCCACTATGCTGTGAGGGTAAAACTGAGGTTGAGACCGGGCTAGCTGTTCCCATGAGAGGGCACCTGCTCTTTCTGGGCAGACATGAATAAAAATAAATGATATAAATATAAATAATACAAATAATTAAATAAGGCTTCTTTTAGGGCTCGTTCACACCATGGTACAGAGACATCAGTTTTTTTTCTGCACGCATTCTGCAAGGGTACAACAAAATCAATTGTTCTCTCTGTGCCCTGTTCACACCACAACACTAGTGTCCCGTGCAGATTTTTTTCTGCCCAGGAATCTGCAATGTTTATCAAACTCATTGAAGCGCATTTGTAAACTGATGTTTCTGCAAGTGAAATCTGCATGTCAGTTTCCATCAGTTTTTCTGCATGTATGATGTGAACAAGGCCTTAGTGTTGTATTTTGACAATGTTCTGCAAAAATTTGTTGGGGGAGAATAGAAATTTTCAGCCCCCATTAGATAAAATAATAAAACAAATAAATAAGCTAATACACAGAAGAAAAGTAAAATGAGACTGTACTGTGCAATTTACCTTCATAAATGTTACTTGTGAGGCCATCCCAGGTTTCTGTCACCTTCTCCCATGGCAAGGCTGAAGACATGGCAAGTGGAGTGGAGACTGGCATCATTTTTGCTGCCTACGGTATATACAAAAAATATACATATAGATAAAAAAAAAAAAAACCTCAGTGAAATACAAATATATCAGTGCTATAAAACACAAAACCAATTTTTGTATAAGAGGAAAGCTGCTCACATAAATACCCACATACAGATACATCAAAGTAACCCAAAATACCACATGTAATGCACTTATCCTTAATCTTCATAAACTGTGAACAAGATTACTGTCCCTTTAAATAAAACACGCCACGTGTCAATTCCAAACAAATATAATCTTTAATTAAAATAGTGCAAAAATTGGAAAGAAAAGTTCAAATTCTCTCTCTGTGCTTCTATTTTTCCTGAAGACATTATTTGTAACGAAACGCATCTGGCGAAGCATGTCGTCTGACATCATAACATTTTTGTGCATGTGGGCTAGTCATTGATCCCGATAACGCCATTTTTGTTTACTGCAAGTATACCTGTTGATTGCAGACTTTGCACATGCACTTGTTTTATGAGGGTGCCCATATTTGTAATAAATAGGAACATTTTAAATGGTATTATGATATTTGCAACATGCTTTTATTATATGGTCCGTACTTGATGTGGTGTGGCAGCTGGAAAGGCTGGCCCAGAGTGTGTCTTTGTGGTTTCTAGGAGTCATCGATGGGATTTCTGTATGTCATTTGGATATTCCCTGGTAGCCATTCATGTGAGTCCTATGTGCTGTCCAAGAGCCCTGAGAGCCATCTGGGTGGGTCTGGATCAGGAAGGATTGTGAAGTGCTTGTATCAGAACAAGAGCTGTTTTGCCCAGGAGTTTGGCTACCTCTTTTGGTGGTGATGGCTAGATTAGTTCAATTTTTACACGTTTTGTAGACTTTCTAACCGTTTGATTGCCCTTAGATGTCAACCCCTTACCAGCCAGTGTCATTAATACAGTGACAGTGTACAGTATTAGCACTGATCACTGTATTAGTTTCACTATAGATGTCAGTGTCGATTAGTCAGTTAGTGTACCTCCCAGCATCAGCTAGCCCTAGATTGCCCGCCACACTATCATGGTCCCACTATAAGTCACTGATCACCGCCATAGCAGTATAGTAAATTCCAGTATACATACCATAGTTTGTAGATGCTATACCTTTCGCAGAAACTAATTAATATACACCTATTTGGACTTTCTTTTTACCAAAAACATGCAGCAGAATACATTTTGGCATAAATTTATAAAGAGAAATTAGATTTTTTAATTTGTATACTGGATATGTTTTATAATAGAAAGTAGAAAATATTGTTTTTTTCAAACTGTTTGGTCTTTTTTCATTTATATTAAATAAAAAAAACAGTGGTGATCAAATACCATCAAAAGAAAGCTATATTTGAGTGAACAAAATTATATAAATTACGTTTGGGTGCAGTGTTTCAAAACCAAGCAAACTGCCAGTTAAAGTAGCACAAATCTGAATAGCAAAAAATGCTCTGGCCAAGAAGGGGCTAAAACCCTCCAGAGCTCAAGCAGTTAAACAATGGCATTTGTCAGTCAATGGGCAACAATTATAAAAGAACAAAAGTTAAACCTGGGTGGCTAAATACTAACATAAAAAGGCACATTAATGAGAAAAAAAACTGTCCTTTAAAAAATATAAGACTGAATGGAATAAGACTGAATGATCACCATTGGAATTCCAAAACTGCATTGCAGGAAATGCAAGAACACAATCGGGGCAGGTAAAAAATTATGAGGGACATGAGAGAAAAAAATCCCCCAATATATTTTCAAATACATTGCTCAAAAAAATTAAAGGAGGACATCAGATCTCAATGGGGAACAATCTCCTGTTGGATATCTATACTGATATGGACTGGGTAATGTGTTAGGAACATAAGGATGCCCCATCGTTTGATGGAAATGAAAATTATCAACCTACAGAGGACTGAAATTCAAAGAAACCCCCTGAAAATCAAAATGAAAAAATGATGCAGCAGACTAGTTCATTTTGCTAAAATTTTCATTGCAGCAACTCAAAATGGTATTCAGTAGTTTGTATGGCTCCTGCGTGCTTGTATGCATGCCTGACAATGTCGGAGCAAGTTACTAATGAAATGACGGATGGTGTCCTGGGGTATTTCCTCCCAGATCTGGACCAGGGCATCACTGAGCTCATGGACAGTCTGAGGTGCAACCTGGCGGCATCAGATGGACCAAAACATGATATCTCAGAGGTGTTCTATTGGATTTAGGTCAGATGAGCGTGGGGGCCATTCAATGGTATCAATTCCTTCATTCTCTAGGAATTGCCTGCATACTCTCGTCAAATGAGGCCTTGTCATGCACCAGGAGGAACCCAGGACCCACTGCACAGGCGTAGGGTCTGACAATGGGTCCAAGGATTTCATCCTGATACCTAATGGCAGTCAGGGTCCCATTGTCTGTAGAGGTCCCCAGACCATCCCT